AGAAGAAATAAAGGAATGACTCACGAGAAAGAAAGGAATGACTCAGGAGAAAGAAAGGAATGACTCACAAGAAAGAAGGAAATGACTCAGAAGAAAGAAAGGAATGACTCAAGAGAAATAAAGGAATGACTCAGAAGAAATAATGGAATGACTCAGAAGAAATAAAGGAATGACTCACGAGAAAGAAAGGAATGACTCAGAAGAAAGAAGGAACTGACTCAGGAGAAAGAAAAGACTGACTCTGGTGAAAGAAAGGAATGACTCAAGAGAAAGAAAGGATTGACACAGGAGAAAGCAGCTCAATGATAGAATTATGAACTATGAAAAGTCGAATGAACGGAAACCAGGAATGTAACATAGTGCCTGATAGGTCGGGAAAGATTCACTCACTCAACCTATAACGTTATTTATTGATATATTCAAAGTTCCGGCATTATCCTTCAAAAGTGAACATGAAGAGAGATGCAAATTACCCCTCCACACACATTTCCTTGCTTCTTTTCACCCAATCTCTATCATACCTATTTTTAAAAATGAATCCTATACATGCAAAACTGAACGAAATATTTTTTTCGTTCCTTTATTTTTGGAATTTTTCAGGTACAAAAAATTGAACGCAGCTCTCAACCGAGAAATAGTAATGAATTCATTCAAAATATCAGATTTAAAATATATATATAATTATTCTAAAAAAATGAAATTTATCTAAATATCATCTTGTAATATACATGTAATTAAAAAAAAAGAGTTATAATCCTTGGTCGGGGCGAAGGCAAAACTGAACATAACATTTTCTTCATTCATTTATATTTAGAATTTTCCAGGGATGAAAAAATTGAACGCATCTCTCAACCGTGAAATAGTAGAGAATTCATTCAAAATATCAGATTTTAAAACAAATGCATTTTATTTTTTTGTCTTGTGATATACATATAATTTATTCAAAAAGAGTTATAATCCTTGGTCGGGGCGGAGGCCAGGTACGGCATACTAGTAAAAAGAGTTATAATCCTTGGTCGAGGCGGAGGCCAGGTACGGCATACAAGTAAAAAGAGTTATAATCCTTGGTCGGGGCGGAGGCCAGGTACGGCATACAAGTAAAAAGAGTTATAATCCTTGGTCGGGGCGGAGGCCAGGTACGGCATACAAGTAAAAAGAGAAGATAACAGTTCCGGCTTAAGAATGTAATATGTAATCATCTAATAGTATTCTGTGATAATACCATCATAGGATTTTTGATTTTGGCACAGTTATTGTTTTTACCAAACAGGGAAACACCTTTCATGTAATAGCTATATAACAATGCTGTTCACGCTGACAGAGCGGTTTCTGTGCTCAAAGTACTACTCTAACATATGATTGCGCCAATTGTAGTTTTCGTACATTGTCACCATAGCAATTACTAAGAAACCAAAAAACTATTATTGCGCATATTTATCAAAAAAGTAATTACAATGGTGTGTCCTACTTTTTCCTTGTGTCATTATTGCTGGTGACCTTGAAAAAAAAGAAAATACCAACATGCGAACAGAATCATAATCCAAACTAAAATTCAATAAAACTTGGGCAAAATACAAAAAGTATGAACAGAGGAAAGATAACGGAAGCTCCAGAAAATGTACAAGGAGGATATGATAGGATGTCTCGGAAAAAATCATCTACATCATCGGCAAAACCCGCCATGTAAAACATGGCCAATCTCGGTACTAATATCACGTTCTCAAAAGAGAACAGGGTAAACAACAACGGAACTTCCGACGCCGCTGGATCATTAATTAATCCCAACTTCGACCTGCATCTCTCAAAACCTTGTTGTAAGTGTTTGTCGGTTAGTTGAAGACTTCTTGCACGAGAATCTTGATATTAGGAACAGGCCCTCGAATATCAGTTCATCCGCAACATTTCAATACTTTAAGTCGGGGAATAAACGGATGCTGCTTTCCAGAAATGAGAAGTTTACAATAGGGAAATTGAAATCATTACGCTTATCATACAGGTTGGTGGAAAGCTGTCCATCTTGGTTTCGTTGTAGCAAAAGATCGAGGTAAGCGACTGGAAGAGAAAAGACTGTCCTTGATTTCTAATTGTGGTTGATATATACGATGATTCGGAGACAAGGCATCATCAATATCTTTGAAGTGAAATTGATAGACTTTGCAAGGTCAGTGTAACCTGTTTAGATAAGTTCGTCGATAAATTAAGCCACGTGCGAAAACAAAACAAGTGAACCAACAGAGAGGGGCATAGTTTCACATTGGTATGCTTGTCGGCCTTTCTGATCCGTCCTTGGATCAAAAGGACTCAACAATGAACCGAAAGGAACATACATCATTTCCACAGTGAAAACCCAAGATGGCCGCCTTTCAGCCATTTTACTTTTCTTGTCAGTTCCAACATCAAAGGCACAACAGTGACATATGGTATTTAGGAAATATCTATCCAGTACTTCTCGACAAACAACGGTAACAAATTATGACTTTGAAAAACTAAGATGACCGCCTGAAGGTTATCTTGCTTTTCCGATCAGTTTCAAAATGAACAATGCACAACTAGGAATCAAGGTTAATCTTCATGAAACTTGAGAATAATCCATACAGTACTTCTTAAGAAATAGCAAATAAATAGGCTGTAAACGGGCACTAAGCGTATACTGAAATGGGAACCGACATTTTATGTGCTTATTCACATGTATTTAACGAGCTTGAAGTACTTCGCTGTCGCCTCTCAGCAGACGAGAAAATACAGGGAAGTGAGAAGGATGGGTGTAGCAATGAGTTGATACTGGGAGAAGGGCGAGACAGCTATTTTTAATCGAGGAAAACACCGCGAGTTACCTCCCTTATATCGTCCATATGCGGGAAATAATTGCGTGAGACGCTAGTTGATTTAGGAAGTTTCACCTGTGGTAAAGGCTATTTTCTATCTTAGAATGATGTAAATTCCCATTTCGAAGATATGACAACATTTCCAATTTCATTTTTGCAGAATTTTTTAACATGTATATTTCGTTTTTTTTTTTAATGAGATTTAATATGGAACAAGATTTGGACATTTTTTGAAAATTCTTTCCAGATTTTCTTGAAAATTTGCAAGCAATCTTTCACATTACTCTGTGAATATTATTATAGGAAGAGAACGTGTGTTTCCCCTTATAACCCTATAAAATTGAGTACACTGATAGTCACTGCTATCATATTAATGCCATTTTTCTAAGTTTGTAAAAAACAAATAAAAAGAAATTAATAGAAAAATAAAAGAAGATGTACAAAAGCTATAATTATACTTGTGATATGCGCTGCTCTACGATACACTGCATTACTGCAACAAGGAATAGAATCTTAAAATTTTGAGGATGAAATTGAGTTCATCACGTTCATTTTTTCAGTATGTTTCATAAAAAAATATTATTTTATAATTTGCTTTTGGTGGGTTTTTTTGTTTTATTTTTTTGTTTTTTTTTCTGTTGTTTGCTTGCCTTTATTCCAGTACACGGAATCGTTTGATTCCTAACAGTGCACATACCGTAACACGGTGAAGTCTAAGGCTGTAATAACTTGATCTGACATCGTACGCATGCGCACTCAGGATGGTTAGGTAATGTTTCCATTATTTTTCTTTCTTTCCTTATTATACTCGATATCAGTAAGTTACGTTAACTATACCTGTAATGCATTTCCACATAACTTTGATTCACTTTGAGCAGGGTCGCTAGATTTGTTACGGGTCTTTATAACGTTGAGTTAATTTGAAACGAACATTGACGAATATTGTGGTTACGTTGTCACAACTTCAGATCAATAGAATGCATATTTTATCAGTTTTATTTATGTCAAATATTCGTTGTCACAACTTCAGAAAAATAGAATGCACATTTTATCAGTTTTATTTATGTCAAATATTTAGATAAGTTTATCAAGTTATAAAAAGACACACTTCAAAGTTATCTTTTGAAGATTCAAATATTTAATTGAAAAGGGTAAGTATGAGAATGCGATTGCTGGTATTCTTTCCGGATTTCCACTACCCGTTATCTGCTTTACATTTTACACACCAAGAACTCGAGACTTTGTATGTTGCGTTGATATAAAAATCAGAGGCGTTCCGGATGCGCCGAGAGATATAGGAGCATTCATTGTTTATGATTTTGAAATTTAATATTACAGATCAAATATTGATGCGGAACGCCAGAGGCCATTGGGATATGGGTCACCTGTTTATCTTTTTGACACATGATAAACAACGTAATGTCAGATGATTGTATAGTTTAAATAACTGTGAACTTTTCAGTCGACGTATGAATGTACCGTCTATTTTTGTCTCTGGCTATTTATAGTAAGTGCACCTTTTTGGAAATACCCCAGCTTTTCTTAGACCCAAAATACGGACTGCGGAATGGTATTTACGGATCGCTAAAACACGGAACCGTCATTATTGTCTCACTTTAAAAAAGATGAACAGTGTAATGAAATTAAGTTTTGACAAAGAATAAAAACATTTTACTCGTTTGAAATTTTTTTTCATCGATAATTTAAGAATGATAGGAGCAAGATTATTGAATTGCTTTCGTAATTCAACCTCTAACCTCTCAAACGTTACATTTTTGCACCCTTACCTACACTTTTATGCTAATTAATGATGAATAATCAACTCCTTTGTTTTCTTGGGGGGAGAATAGAGCAGGAAGAAAGAGAAGGGCAAAAAAAAGAGGAAAAAGAAAATCGATAGCTTGTGACAGACGATGGACAACGAAATGTGGGGAAGTATAGTGACTCAAAACGAGCAATGTCATGTATTGAAATCAAAACTTTTGTTGAACAAAAAAATTAATCACATAACTTCAAATGTGTTCAATAAAAAAAAACGTACATTGCAACTTTTGGTTCGCATTTTAACATGCAATGAATAGTTTTTTTTTATTCCATTGAAAAGAAATAATTGAATTATCCTTTCATTGTTCTGTTTTTCTTCCTCGTTTTCATTTAGACGTCAATTTGATGACGTCACTGAGAAGAATAGGTTGTGAGGAGTCCCTCTGGACAAACGTTCTCCTCATCCTTCAAGTCAATAACCAAATTCCCCTCCGTTTCAGAGTCCGCAGTTGATGGGCGGGGTTGGAACACACCCACTTCCGACACTTTGGGATACCCAATAAGCGATTCTACTGAACTTTGATTTTCCGGATAGAAAGGGGTCCTTGGAGATTGGAAGTCCTGAACAGACTGTTCCGACCGGGGTTCTGGACTGTGAAAATCCCCACTGTATGTCACATCCTGTTGGGCTGTTGGAAACAAACGAGGGACAGGATTGTAAGGATACATGTAGGGAGCCCTTGGGTACATCGGCATACTGCCCCGGGGTGAGAGGGGATTGGGGATTGTGTTGGTTGGAGGTAGCGGAGCGTGGAATCCTGGATTATACCCCTGGAAGCCGAGAAACCCCATTCCTACAAATAGAATGGACATCCTTTCATGAGTGTATTTGTGATAACTATGTCATGTTTTTTCTTCCTTCTTTCTTTCTTTCCTTCCTTCTTTCTTTACCATTTTTCAAATAGTTAAAAATCTTCTTCAGTTGAATAATAACAAATTAAGTTTGTTGATGTATCTCAAATTAATTGCAACAATCACAATATATAGTGTCATGTTACATAACGAATGTAATTACCTTCCGTTCACTAGGCAGGTGTTCGCATTGGATAACTGATCATGTTCAAGTTAAACAATGTTGAATGAGACATTTCAAGCTAATCCAGAGCACATTAGTTTAGTTAAAACATATTTTATTTGACCAAAAATCAAATGGAATTGGACTCAAGTTAAACAACTTAGGAACGTCCTCTTCCATAAACAATTATACAAGGTTACATGCAGATGTGGCAGCATTTCATCAAACATTAAATCATTGATTTATACATAAAATGAGCACATTAGTCGCCCAGAGAAAGCAAAATATTTTTATTTGTAATCAATCATGAGAGAGACGAAATTGGAAATACTCTGTGTCCAAAATCAGTTAATTAACCCGGCTTTAACCTAAAACATCTTACTTTTTAAATTTTCAAACTTTTCATCAAAATAATTACCGACACCTCCTGTGCCTGCTGGTGTCAGGTCAGTCTTTGGTTCCGTCGTGATCGTGTCCAAAGCTCTGTTCATGGCGACGTCAATCTTCTCTATCGCTTTTTGAGTATCTCCGTCACATGACTTCAACACGGCTCCTAACTTCTCCACGTCGTAGTGGGGATACCGGTGGATGAGAACTTGTAGGGAATCTGTCAAAATAGGTCTGTCAAATAAATTATCAAAAGGTAATTATGGTATCATGAATTATGTTTTCACCAGAACTCACCAGACAAAAGTCATTACGTTGGTACATTGCTAGTATTTATATATGTGTTTTGGGAATTTCAAATATAGCCATAAGATTAAAAAAGTTAACTGGGTTTTAATACAGTAGATAAATAAAATAGATAAATAAATAAATAAATTAATTAAAATAAATAATTTTAAAAAAATAATTAAACATAGACTCGGCACTTTTGTCTTTCTTCTCCCTCCCGAAATACAGCTGATATCCAAGGACAGTGACTATGTATTCTCCATACCTGTATTAAGGGGCGTTGGTGCCACCAGCCCCATATCTTCCTCCTGTTTCCAGAGACGTCTCAGAGCGATCTGTTCCTTTGAATTTTGTTGGCGTTTCATCAACAGAAGGCAGTTTTCACATGTGCAGTTCTTCCATTGACAGAATCTTTTGTGTCCCTTTAGGACCGTGATGATCCCGTGGTTTCGGCACCGGCAACATTTAGGGGAGCGCAGTGTGGACAAGACCGCGGCTCGCTTTGGTTCCTTCTGGCTGGACATAAGCTGTAGGAAATCTTAAGCATGCTGATGTGGTTCTTTGTGATAAAGGAACTTCAACTGGTTTTCATTTTATACAGTGAAGTTTTATGAAGCGAGTCTTAAAGGGTATTTTTTATATTATTTTTCGGACTTTGGCGAATAAAGAAACAGTTACATTCTGACAGGTTTTGAAGTCAAAATAAGGAGGACAAAATCAAACGAAGGCAGCCATTTTTTATGTGCCATTTTCAATTCAGGATGTAATGTCATTGTTCATATCAGGACATCACGATCGATTTCTGAATGACCAGTCAAAAACGTCCAGGCGGATTGTGTGATAAAAAGAACTTACTAGACCAGGGAAAACGACGGTTTTTCTCATATCTATATGATCTCTACTATGCTGTTACTTTTCAAACCTAAACGACTTTGTCCTAAACAATTTACACCTACTTGATTTCTATAAATCTGATTCCAATAACACTGAGCACGTGTTCCAAACTCAAGCAGACAACTCCCCGATTGTTTGTTCAAATGCAAAGGTCTATAGAACGCATGAGGACATATTTGTACTCAAGATGAATCCAGGATTCCAACCCTGACACTAGTCTATATGTTTAAATGTTCTGAGACAATAAAATATTGATTTAAAAAAATGTATTTTATTTGAATATTCTATTCGACAACTGAAGACAATATTGTTATTAGTTCCAAACAGATTAGAAAAACATGATGTACTACACAAAAATGTTTTAATCATGCCATCCATCTATTCGATTGATCAATCGATTTAGTGAATAAAACGATATTTGCTTTGTACATTAAGATCAACCTATATTTTGACTCGTGGCTTGTAGATCTATGATCAGACCCGTTCTTATTCAATATAAAACAAAATACTTTACACACTTTTCTGGCAGTAGGAAACGAAATGTGTACCATTCACAAATTACCAACCGGAACTTTTTGATACATTCAGAATTTTAGAAAGTTTTTAATCCATGGTCAAATTTCTCATCCCCACCCTCACCACTCCCAGAAAAAATGTCACGCATCAGAAGAGATCTAAAAATACGCCGGTAACGATTCTTCTGGTCCTTGTGGCGATGCTATCTTTTACAGTTGTCTATTTCAGATGGAATCAATATCAGTTCGATTGATGAAATTAACCACAGTGATGTTGATAACGATGTACACATATTGTTTTGACACAATGTTCAAATGTAAACCATACCGGGTTCTCGGACCGTCGGACGAAACACAGTGTAAAAACGAACTTTGTACATTTTCTCGTAAGAACTTAAGACGGAATCATTCCTTGTAGTAATAAAAGTACACAAATAACATGCATTCTCAAATCATACCTGTTTCTGATTGTTGAGTCTCCAGTTCTTTGATATCCATTCACTCACTTGATTGGGGTACCGGGTGATCACGTGACTTGTTCAACCGTGGGAAAGTGTTGACGGCGACCATGCACCTATTGCACCCAACATCAAGTTTTGTTTGACAGAATACAACTTTCGTCGAATATCTTGTCTCTAAACTTGTGAATAGGAGAGTTTCAAAAATGGAAAGTTATGGTCGTATTACGTAGAATATCTGGACGGCCTATATTTATTTCAAATCATGAAAATCACAAAATGTGTGTTTTATAGAGAAAACTGAGGTACTGAAGATGTTTTTAAACAAATCCCAGAAAAAAGTGTCTGTTAGAATTTGGAAAAGCTCCAGCGCCAACTTCAATCACGAATTCGAATCAATTATTAATTATCTAATATCATTAAGATGAAGTAGTGATGTAATTAATTCATTAAAAATTATCGTTAAGTCGATTTAATGAACTTTTTTCTAACTTGAAGTAAATTTTTATATAATAACAATGTTATCAAAAGCCCTGAAGAGCTCTGAAATGTAATAAGGATATGTTGAAATTGTGTTGCATAGAGGAGAGGAGAGAGATGTTTAAGTAAAGTAAGAAATATTCACTGCAGTATCGTGTAATCGGTCCGGAAGGGACACGTCAATTTAGCATTAATAATCAGCAGTGATGTTGAGTAGATTTCGATCATTTGTCTGTGAGTGTGTCTCAGATAATTCTACAGATCGTTACACATACTTTTAATAAAATATTTTATCAACATTAGCGCATATACGTAGGCAAGTGTTCATACTGTAAAAGGAAAAGTGATATTATATGAAACTAAATCTTATCGGAAATCCGACAATGAAGCGATGTCTTTCCCAAAAATTCAAGTGTCATATATATGAAAATAGATAATGCTCAAGTATTCACTTGCATCGTTTTATATCATATAAAGTCGTGTGTAAACGGAGGGGAAACACCGAAATAGAACCTTCTGCTTTAACCAATATTTCGATGTTTATTGTGTAAATAAGATGCATAATGAGTTTAGTTGTAACACAACTTCTATACAACTGACAATATGTGATATGTGTAAAAGAAGGTTAATAAATTGGTAGAAAAACAAAAAATCTTGTATCATGCCTCTTCAAATTCTCAGTCACGATCAACATCAACTTCGTCTTATCGGTTGAACCTTTCACATAGATGACGCTGTCTATTTTTACTGTCTTGGGACCTTTACAGCAGAAACTGCATAACAGGTTATAAATATCATAAGGATTGAGGTCTGATTGTAGGTGTGTTTCGTCGCCGCCATCTTTATTATGTTCCCTCTGCACCAAGCACACAGGAAAATATGAGATTGAAAAGGGTTGGGAGTTCTTGTAGTCTTAAAAGCTCCCGTTTGTTTGTTGTTTTATTTATATATTTATTTTGTTTGTTTGTTGTTTTTGTTTTTTTTCCATTTCTTTTTTTATTTTCCCCCGAAAGGCAAACTGTTACACTTCTGAATTATCTGGGGCCATGTGTATGTTGTTTTACTTAAGAAATGTCCAAAAACTTTTTTTTTCATATCTGAAACTGTATTTTAAGTTTAATGTCTAACAATCTTGTAGAGACATGGCGGTGAAGTTTTGTGTTTGTTTTTGTATGTTTCCAAAGTCACATGTCTCGGTCTTCTAATTTCAAAAGGGGATGTCTATTATTTTTTACATTTCTACAGTGAAATATAGAGAAATATCTGATAGATGATTCTGTGCTCTGCACTCGTGAAAGATACTAAAATATTAGACACACTTGTGAAACTTATTTGTAATTACTAAAGACACTATTGATATCTATATGTCAATGGGTCGAGAGGTCACCTTTACATCTTCAGAATTAATCATATGTATGTCTAATTAAATGCACTATAAACAATTTCTTTACATTTTAAACGTTTGTATAAGAGAAGAGGTGCCAGGAAAACAGACAGATGTTAAAATGTGAGAGTATGAATGTGTAAAAACAATGTGAATATTTTAGTCAGATAAAAGTTCTTATTGCATTCACTACATTAGTTTTGGGCTTTATACAGTTTTTAGGTAGTAAATTAAATTTTAGTGTCATTTCCTCATACTGTTAAATATATATTGTCTTTACATATGACAGAGAGAGTTCACCACAATCTTTCCCTAACGCCGTATAAATAAAATTTATCACGACTTGCTTCCATTTTATCTATACACGAGACCATTTACAGATGTCGTGGTCGGGTTGTGTCGTCAGCACAGTTATAAGTTTGTAGTACTGTACTGCGAGGACTCGGATGTCTGTTTGGGTTGTGTCGTCAGCACAGTTATAAGTTTGTAGTACTGTACTGCGAAGACCCAGATGTCCGTTTGGGTTGTGTCGTCAGCACAGTTATAAAGTCTGTAGTACTGTACTGCGGGGACTCAGATGTCTGATCGGATTGTGTCGTCAGCACAGTTATACGTTTGTAGTATTGTACTGCGAAGACCCAGATGTCTGTTTGGGTTGTGTCGTCAGCACAGTTATAAGTTAGTGCTGTACTGCGAGGACTCAGATGTCGTGGTCGGGTTGTGTCGTCAGCACAGTTATAAAGTTTGTAGTACTGTACTGCGGGGACTCAGATGTCTGATCGGATTGTGTCGTCAGCACAGTTATAAGTTTGTAGTATTGTACTGCGAAGACCCGGGATGTCTGTTTGGGTTGTGTCGTTAGCACAGTTATAAGTCTGTAGTACTGTACTGCGGGGACTCAGATGTCTGATCGGATTGTGTCGTCAGCACAGTTATAAGTTTGTAGTATTGTACTGCGAAGACCCAGATGTCTGTTTGGGTTGTGTCGTCAGCACAGTTATAAGTTAGTACTGTACTGCGAGGACTCAGATGTCGTGGTCGGGTTGTGTCGTCAGCACAGTTATAAAGTTTGTAGCACTGTACTGCGGGGACTCAGATGTCGTGATCGGATTGTGTCGTCAGCACAGTTATAAAGTTTGTAGTACTGTACTGCGGGGACTCGGATGTCTGTTTGGGTTGTGTCGTCAGCACAGTTATAAGTTTGTGGTATTGTACTGCGAGGACTCAGATGTCTGTTTGGGTTGTGTCGTCAGCACAGTTATAAGTTTGTACTGTACTGCGAGGACTCAGATGTCTGATCGGGTTGTGTCGTCAGCACAGTTATAAGTTAGTACTGTACTGCGAGGACTCGGATGTCTGTTTGGGTTGTGTCGTCAGCACAGTTATAAGTTTGTACTGTACTGCGAGGACTCAGATGTCTGATCGGGTTGTGTCGTCAGCACAGTTATAAGTTAGTACTGTACTGCGAGGACTCGGATGTCTGTTTGGGTTGTGTCGTCAGCACAGTTATAAGTTTTTACTGTACTGCGAGGACTCAGATGTCTGATCGGGTTGTGTCGTCAGCACAGTTATAAGTTAGTACTGTACTGCGAGGACTCGGATGTCTGTTTGGGTTGTGTCGTCAGCATAGTTTTAAGATTGTAGTATTGTACTGCGGGGACTCAGATGTTTGGGTTGTGTCGTCAGCACAGTTATAAGTTTGCAGTACTGTACTGCGAAGACCCGGGATGTCTGTTTGGGTTGTGTCGTTAGCACAGTTATAAAGTTTGTAGTACTGTACAGTGAGGACTCGG